CAAATAAGAGCTTGAGTTTTGTTGTGATGTTTTTTTCCAAAGTGTTTTCATCCTGTGTTTTCTAGTAATGGTTCTTTTTCGAATCTGGAGCTAACCGTCTAAGTTCACTACTAGTAGATATTATTTATTTTTGTCGGTTACATATTTGGGTCTATCCCTACTCCAACTAATGTCTTGCATTGACTGTTGACTAATTGTGAGATCAAAGTGGAACGAAATATTCTCTATAAGAGTGTGAAAACAAAACATTTCTTATAAAGATATGGAAATCTCTTTCATAGTATAAGTGTTTTAAAACTGTGAGGCTAATGATGATACGTAACGAACAAAAAGTGGACAATATTTGCTATAGGCTGTTTTGTATTAAAGTGAATAATATTTGCTAGTGGTGCGCTCGGGCTGTTATAAAACCTCTCCTTAGTAGATGCGTTTTAAAATCATGAGGTTGACGATGATACATAACAAGCTAAAACAAACAATATCTATTGGCGGTGGATTGAGGCTGTTACAAAACCTCTCTCTAGTACACACATTTTAAAGTCATGAGGCTGATGACAATACATAACGAGCTAAAGCGGACAATATCCACTAGCTGTGGATTTGGATTGTTACAAAACCTCTTTCGAGTAGACGCGTTTAAAATCATGAGGCTAACATCGATACATAACGAGTTAAGGTGGACAATAATATCTACTAGCAGTGGACTGAGGTTGTTACAAAACCTCTCTCTAATAGATATGTTCTAAAATCATGAGACTGACAACGATACATAACGAGCTAAAACGGACAATAATATCTACTAGTAATGGGCAGGGGTTGTTACAAAACCTCTCCATAGTAGATGCATTTTAAAATTATAGGACTAACAACGATACATAACGAGCTAAAGTGGACAATAATAGCTACTAGCAGTGGACTGGAGTTGTTACAAAACCTCTCTATAGTAGACACGTTTTAAAATCGTGAGCTGACAACGATACATAACGAGTTAAAACAGACAATATCTGCTAGCGATAAACTTGTGCTATTACATGAACGTGAAGAAGGAGAAGAAAAGGCGGTGGCAGCAGCGCGGAAAGAAGAGCTAGAAAAAGAAAAAATATATTATTATAAAAAAAATGTCACGTCAACTGGAAATGGAGACATAATACGACATGTCGTTTTATGAAATTTCAGTTTCAAACAAAACAACTTTCAAAGGAGAATAGTACGGATTCCAAGTTGACATTCTTTTTACAAGCAACAGTCCTCATGGAGTCTATGACATTAACCAACTGCAGCCTGCACTTCCAGCAACCAGGTCACATTCGACATTGTTGGTCGTGACGACGGGTCCTTTTGCACGCACGAGATCGCTACATTCATTATCAAACATAAGTTGTCGACGATCTCTTGCGTTTGAGGAAACGGCAAACGAGAATCTAGAACATCTTTTAGATCAATATTGTTATCAGACGAAGAATGCAAAGCAAAAATGATATCTCCCGGATGCGTTCCTGCCAAAACTTCGAGCGCCAAAACACCAAAACTATAGACGTCACATTTTTCAGGCACCACCGTTGTATATGCAAGCTCTGCAGAGATACGAACAGTTATTATTCAAACCAAAGAACAGTTATTATTCAAACCAAAGAACACTTATATGCAAAGACTTTCATATGTTACCTGGAGCAATGTAGCCAGTTGTGCCTGCAACTGCTATCCAATTCGACGCATCGGTGTTCATAAATCTTGCAGTCCCGAAATCCGAAACACGAGCTTCATATCTCGAGTCGAGTAAGACGTTCTTGCTCGTTATGTTTCGATGTATGATCGGAGGGATGCAATAGTGATGCAGATAAGATAGCGCCCGAGCCGTGCCTTTCACCGCCCGGATTCTCTTGGACCAATTTAGCTCCATTGCTTCTTTTGCATCACTCAATATATGTGCTAAGCTGCCTCTGTTGATGTACTCATAAACCAAGAAAGTATGAACTTTTGTGCAACAAAATCCCAAGAGCCTCACTATGTTCCCATGCTTTATTTCTGTTAAACCTCTTGCTTCATTTAGAAACTTCTTCGAATTCTGCATCATCATCTGGTCGTCGTCCCATGAATCATGTAGCTTCTTCACTGCATATACGGCACGGTCGGGCGTTTCGACTTTGTAAACCTTGCCCGAACCTCCCTCCCCTATGCAGTACTCATCATCAAAATCCTTACTAGCTTCAATTATCTCCGAATACGTAACTTTACCATCGAAGAAGTACCATACGTCCCGAAACGTCGTATTACTATCCGAGACACGCTCGGTTCTCTTTCGAAGGATATAACTAACAATTCCAAAGAGTACTAAAGAAACCAACGCAGATCCGACTATAGTAGGAACAAGAATCGCTACGAGCTTCTTCTTTGTAGTTCCTCCATCGTCATTCTCGTGGTCGTTGCAGCTCGGCAACCCCACGATATCGTTTGAACATAAACCTTTGTTGTTACTGAATGCAGCTGCCTCAGCTCTGCTAAAGATGCCTCCATCAGGAAGAGGGCCCTCTAAGTTGTTGAATGAAAGATCAATGGATATCAAACTCACCATGGTGGCTAATGAATTTGGGACAGAACCAGAGAGATTGTTATGAGATAAACTCAAATTCTCTAAGCTTTTTAGATTCCCCAAAGTGTAAGGAAGTTGTTCACTCAATGAATTGTAACTCAAATCAAGCAATATCTGCAAGGCTGCAAGCTTTCCAATGCTAAATGGGATTGACCCATTTAGCTGATTCCTGCTCAAGCTTAAGTATTGCAGCCTAGAACACTCACCAAGTTCATAAGGAATTGATCCACTCAAGACATTCATGGAAAGATCAAGACTTGCTAGATTGCCCATGCTTCCTATCCCTATAGGAATCGACCCAGAAAGCCGATTACCGCGTAGTCCGAGTATCAATAGTTTCGACAAGTTTCCGATACGTTTCGGTATCGATCCAGAGAGATTGTTATATGAGAGATCAAGTTTTGCTAAGTTCTTCAGCCCAAGAATCTCTTCTGGGATTTCACCATTTACTTGATTCCCAGTGATCCTTAAAAGGGTTAACTTTTTGCATTCTCCCCAATTGGGAGAGAGGGTTCCTTTCAATTGATTGTAGCTCAAATCAATGTAATTAAGGCTTGGATACACTCCAAAATCTTGATCTAACAATCCTGTTAAGCTATTGTTTTGCATCAAAACCCGGAATAAACTAGAACAGTTTTGCAGACTTGAAGGAACAGGGCCTGAAAAACTATTGTAAGCAGCTGAGAAATTAACAAGTTTTCCTCCTTTACACACTTGGGGAGGTAAATTACCAATGAAATTGTTTTCAGCAAGATGAAGAACACTCAAAGATGATGAATTTCCCAAATTTTGTGGCACTTCACCAGATAAATTGTTGGTGAACAAACGTAAATCAGTTAAGTTCTTCAAATTTGCTATACTTTTAGGAATTTGTCCTGAAAAATGATTTTCATTGAGACGAATAACGTTTAGATTACTTAGATTCCCCAAAGATTGAGGAATTGGACCAGAAAATTGACTTCTGTCGAAAGCAATCAAAGCCAAAGTCTTGATATTCCCTATCTCCTCTGGTACTCTGCCTCGAAGCAGAGTATCTTGAAGCAAGAAATTCCTCAAACTCTTCAACCCAGTTCTTGAATTACCAGACCCATCTGGGAAAAGACGAGAATCCAAAGACCCAGTAATGAAATTACGAGAAACATCGAGCTCAAAAACGTTTGTGAGATTTGCAAGAGAAAGAGGCAGAGTACTGTTGAGATAATTGGTGGAAAGATCAAGAAATTGGAGCTTTGAAAGAGCTCCAATGGAGGGAGGAATTACACCAGAAATATTGTTGATTTTGAGATCGAGACGGAGGAGATTAGGAAAAGAAGAGAAGTTCAAGTGATCGAGAGTACCCATTAAGCCAGTGTTGTCTAATTTGATATCAATGACGCTGCTCTGTTCGTTGCATGTGATACCCCGCCATTGACATGGGGCAGAAACAGAGGAGCTTGAGTTTAAAGCGTCGACCCATGAATCTAAAACCGTTTGTGGTGGGAGGCTTCGCTTCCATCGGAGAAGAGCTTGAGCTTCCATGGCGGAACCTTCCATGGATTCGAAGGAAGAAAGAAGAAGCAAGAACACGAACACACATGAACTTGCATATGAAACAGAGAACCGTTGCTTATTTTGGGCGGCCATGATGATTTGATTCCTGTTTTGATAGATACTGTAAGATCATATAGGAGAATAAAATGGACCCAGTTGCTAATTGTTCATGTTTTTCTGGTCAAAGTAAAAGATCGTAGCTTTCAAAAGCTTCAGAGAATTAAAATTTTCCGCCTCAGCTTTCAAATTATTCATACATATTATAAAGTTCCAAAGGAGCGTGTGACATATATTTTAACATATTTTATTATCGGTATACATTAATTTTAAAATATTTTTTTGAACAAACTGGAAATTTCGGTATAGTTAGATTGGTGACTTGAAATATTTGAATAGGGTTATAATCCAACCCAAACAAAAAAAAAAAAAAAATCTAACTCATTTTATTATCAATATACACTAATTCTTATGATTTTGGATCGGTACTCAAGCGGTATTATTCATATATTTTAATATAAATAAAATATGATTTTTTTAAAAAATTCTAATTTCATCTGAAAATTATTAATTTTGTCATACTTTTTTAAAAATATTTTGAAACTTTAATCCCCGAGATTTAAATGAAGGAAAAAGAAAATTGATCGAGTCAAAGTCTATGGTATATGATTTAATACATTTCAAAATCAGTCCTATTCATATTTTAAAATTCATTCGTTTACTTCCTTGACCAAATATTTGTCTCACGGATTTATCCAAGAAATAGACTTAATTTATAATAATATTAAAAAAAACACACACACATTTATCATTCTAGAAGTAATTAATTTACATAGTGAAGTAGTTAAGCTACTAAAATATTGTATGAAATTGTTTAGTTTAGACAACCTAGGCAGCTCACATGACCAAAGTGACAGAGATAGCTTACCAACTAAAGGTAACCAAATATACAAATGGAAGGTGGAATATTTCTATAATCGTCTGAGTTTGTTGAGATGATAGCACCTCAATATTTAGTATATAATTCAATAACGATTACAGACCGAAAATTTAAATGTTTAAGTCTACACGTTATTTGATTTAACATGGCTTTGCAGTCTGTAATATACTAACTACTTGCTACTTGAATTTTCCGGCATTGGCATGTATTTCGCATATTGGTTGCTCTTGGAGGATCTTTGTGTGAGCACGAAATTGCTGGAATCGTTATCAACAAGTGGCTGATTACTAAATTAGGTTAAGAGTGCAATCATAGAATGAGGTCTCCTGGATGTCTTCCCATCAAAATTTGAATAATTCAATTATGTTGGAATGAACATAAACAAACATTCAAGGTTGGTGGTTGAACTTGTTGGGAGGATTATAGTGTCCCTTCCAAGCGCTATCCAACACTTGATTAAATAATCTCATCGTGCCCTTCCCATCATTTGCATCCGCTGCCCTTTCACCTGGTCACACAAATTTTTCCCACAGCATAACATTAGTTCTAGCCACTACATTAGTTCCAACAAGAAAAGAGACATCACCAAAAAAAGAGAGCTTACCAGCTATACTAGCCACTACATTAGTTCCAACAAGAGTTCTTGCAGAAACGTTGAAGGCAAGGAGAAGTAAAGCAAAGAAGACAATCTTCCAAGCAGCGAAACATGCTCTGGTGGAAGCCATCTGTGTTTGTAAAAAGCTCAAGCTGTGTCAATAGAGACTTTGTTTTGGCTTATATAAACCCACCAAATTTATAGAGAGCTTCACTTCCAAGAGGCCAAGAATCAAAACCTTGAAGAAGAAGGCATTCTAAAGAAGATTTGTTATTTTATGCTCTCTTCCTGCGGCTGTGTGAGGCACCTGTTTGGATAGCTATTATTTTTCTCTCAACTTGTTCTCCAATATGGTCAAAGTAAACGCCCCAAAACAACACGTCGATTTGTAAACCTTTTGGAAGATTTACACAAACTTGGTTACTTGGGGTTAAGCTATCATTATTATAGCTTTTTGGTTCTTATGAAGTTAAGCAGTCAGGAATAGATGCAGTATGATCTGCAGAAATTGGTAGATGTTGCTACCAATTTCAAAAGCCAGAATCCCAAAACCCATCTCTTCTATGGAAGGATTTGATACTCAAAGAATGAAGAAGAGTATGAACATGAGATATTTTGGTTGGTTGGAAGAACAACATTTCAAAACAATGTTAATTATTCTAAGTGAAAATAGGGAACATTCGAGGAAATTTCTTCATACCTCTATGCTTAGAGCATAGAAAATTGGGAATATGCATAGATGTAAACATGTGGAGGAAATAGTCTAAAATTCAATATATTTTGAAAGGGTCTCATTTTGTTTGTCATGTAATTTTATATATAATATTAAAGGGACGAATTTTTATGGGAGTGGTTGCAAATATTAGTGATAGCAGTCTAAGTTTATTACTGATAGACTGCTATCACTAATAGATTTGTGCATGTGAATGAAGTATATCACCATCTGTTGTTGTAGAAAGCTGAAATTGTGAATATAGATGAACTTGGAGGCATAGTTATGTGAGGTTTCCCATCGGTTAGAGAGGGAAACAAAACATTTGTTGTAAGGGTGTGACCTCTTCCTACCAGACGTGTTTTAAAATTGTGAGGCTGACAACAATACGTAATAGGCCAAAGTGGACAATATTTATTAGCGGTGGGCTTGGATTGTTACAAGTGGTATCAAAGCTAGACACTGAGTGGTGTGCCAGTGAGGACGCTGGGTTCCCAAAAAGACAGAATGTGAGATCCCACATTGATTAGAGAGGGGATCAAAACATTCATTATAAAGGTTTGAAAACCTCTCACTAAAAGATGAATTTTAAAACTGTGAGGCTAACGACGATACGTAATGGGCCAAAGCGGACAACATTTGTTAGCGGTGGGTTTTGACTATTACAAATGGTATCAGAGCCAGACACCGACCGGTGTGCCAGCGAGGACACTAAGTCCCTAAGGGAAATGGATTGTGAGATCCCACATTGATTGAGAAGGGGACGAAACATTCATTATATGGGAGGGGTAGATTGTGAGAAGTTGAAGAGGGGAACGAAACATTCAATATAAGAGAGGGGGTGGATTGTGAGAAACATTCATTACAAGGGAGGAAGGTAGATTGTGAGAAACATTCATTACAAGGAAGGTAGATTGTGAGATCCCACATCGGTTGAAGAGAGAAACGAAACTGTTAAAGATCACGTATTTGTTTAGATTGCTGTCAGTTGATCAGTTGATTTAGTTTTTGATTTGTTTACTGGTTTGTTACCTGATTTTCTACAGATTTTTAGGTAGATTTTCTAAATATCTTTTTGTATTCTCTCTATATATAGAGAGCATTCTTGTTCTCCATAATTCAATCTTCTCATCAATCATTCAATAACTCACTCTTTCACTAACAGAAACATTCATTATAAGGGTGTAGAAACCTCTCCCCTAGCAGACGCGTTTTAAAACCATGAGGCTGGCGATGATACGTAACGAGTCAAAACGGACAATATCTATTAGTAATAGGGTTGGACGGTTGGCAGGCTCTTGTTATTGTTGTCTATTTGAAAATGGAAATTTTTCTTACATTTCTAAAGGTGGCCGGCTCACCCTTGATTCAATCAGTTTTGATCAATTTGCCCACCTTATATGCTCTCACAATTTTTAAAGCCACAATCCGTGTTTGTAAAGCCATTGAGATTTGAGAAGATGAGAAATTTTCTAAGGGAAAGGGTCTGATCTTGTAAACTGGGACATGGTCACAACCCCAAAATCTAAATGAGGGTTCAGAGTTTTTGAAGTCAATGAAGCTAATATTGCCCTCCTCTCCTCTGTAAATGGATTTGGCGTTTCTGTAGCAAAAAAGACAAGTTATGGTCTCAAGTGATCTCTAGCAAATACAGTAGCCACCAGTTTGGAAGGATTCCCTCCCAAGAGCTCATGTCGTTCTCCATGGAGGGCTATCATCAGATGTAACAGTTTTTTCTCAAGTCACTCAAGGTGGGGAGTTCGAAATGGTGAATCCATCTACTTTTATCATTTCCAGACGATGGATGATATCCATATAGTTGCTGCTCTCTGTAGAGAAATTCTTTCTAGAGTGACATCTAAACCTTATACTACGTGTCGACAAGCATAATATTAATGAACTGTTAGGTTCTAGTAAGAGAAAGTGTGCGGATATTTCATTGCATTGGGAAGAACAAAGCAACTAAAAGCACCAAACAGCTGATCCAAACAGTTGAAAATCTCATCAAGAGTTGTTTAATATTGGATGATGAACAATACCTCAACCCCGTGGGACATCATCAGAAGTGGGTTTCTTTGCTTTTGCTACAACCACAGCTTTCTCAGCATCTTTGTACTCCACAGCCATGTTACCTTAAACCTTACCAAACATTTGAACATAAATAATATGTTAGAAATAACGAATCTTCACAGATCTTTCTAACAATACGACATTGTCACTTTAAGAATAAGTTCTCGTAATTATGTTTTTAGTTTTCCAAAAGATCTTATACCAATGGAGATAGTATTTTTTTACTATACACTCCGTCTTTAAAGTGTAGTTCAAAAAAGAAACATTCAAAAGTACACAAAACTTAGAAACATTCTTTCAAAAGACATCTCAAACACACTATTTAAACTTCGAAGTGGACAAATATTGAGAGGGTGCAAGAAAAGCTAGCATCAGAAAATAATGGGACAGACAGCTTACGAGTAGTACGAGGTTTGTGCAGTAAAAGAGTGTTGTTGGTTGCAGAAACAGTAGAGCATTAAGCTGGGAGGTAGCTGAGACTAATCTTATTTAGTTATTTATTGCCAAATTTAAGGTTAAATTTTCATTGATGGGAAAATGGGCTATCACAGATCAGAAAAGATCCATTTGCATTTAAACAGTTCGCCCATTTTAAGTGGTTGACTTTGTTTGGGCTCTCATGGCTGTTCTAGATCAAATGATCTGCACCCTGTTTGGTAATTCGCCCATAAAATAATGGCAATGTGAATGAGATCTATGAAATTCGTAGAGTTTTAAAACTAAAGCTGTATAGAATAATATCAATACTCTATTAAAGTTTGAGCTCTCATAATTGAACTAACATTGTTTAGAAAGATATGAGTCATTAACTCCAGAGGCGCTTGCGCCTGTGGCTTGACCAAAATCACACAACACCATTAAAGAAAAAAGAAAGTTCACATGACTTTACTTGTAAATATCCTTATCCTCCAAATCTAACCATGCTAAAACAAAGGGAATTAAAGATAAAACACACAAACAATTCAAATTTTTTCCCTCGGAGGATCAGCGTGGAGGAAGAGGACGGGAACCAGGACGAGAACGAGGAAGAGAAGGACGGGGAGTATAACGACAAGGAGGAGGCGGAGGAGGAGGACGACGAGGGGGAGGAGGAGAATAATTTCCTCCCCAAGAGGTATCCAACTGTCTTGCAATCAATCTCCTGCCCACATTCGTCTCTATTGTCATCTCACCTATTAAAAAAGAACAAGAAGTAAAGTGAAAACAACATTGGTGGATGGGTATTATTAAAAAGAGGAGACTTACGGTGCAGCCACAATGTTGGTTCCAACAAGTTCCCTAGCGGAAACGTTGAAAGCCAGAAGAAGCAAAGCGAAGAAGACTACCTCCTTCCAAGGAACAAAGGCGCTTGGGGAAGCCATTAATTTCTGGTTGCAGAGGAAATAAAGCTCAAAACTTGAATGGGTTTAGAGAGATTTTGGTGATGTATTAATACATATTAACTAACCCAATAGACATGTGGGGAGGGCTGCACTTTCAAGGTAAAAAACATAGAAAAAGGTAATCGAGAAGACTTTTGGCTAATGGGCATCAACTTGTATTAGTCAATGAAGTCTGGTCGCTGATATCTTTTCGTTCATAAAATTACCTCACTTTTATATAAAAAGTGACTGTCGAGGCACTATTGGGCTAGAAAGAACCCGTCAACACTATCCTTCCATCTAATGGAGCAGAGGTGACGCTGCTCAGTAAAGCCCTCCACAGTCTCGTACAGTTCCCTCCGATCTAAGGGCTAATGTCACGGTCATTACTTGTTCCAGGTGTGTTGCATATGGTTACATATTTACGATCATGTTTGTCCAAGACATGTAGTATATAGCTACATATTCTGTTTCGAACTCTTTCTACTCGTTTTCATGTTATCTAGTTTTTTATTATTTTATTATTATAATTTATGGGTGTATGACCGCTTGATAAAGTCAGGTTTAAATGCCTCAAAATGTATTTAGGAGTTGTGACTAGTTGTCAATTTTTCCTACTCGAGTTATACGCTATCAATGTTGCTATCTATGGCTTGTAGCCTATAATATTACTCGAAATAACCCCATTTCCTAAAACTACTGGTTGACATACTCGAGAGCAAGAACACTGTACAATCGATCTGGGACCCCTTCTCCCTCGGGCTAAAGCCCTAATATATATCCGATCTTATGGTGTGCTAAAGAGTGGACCTAGTATCCCAGGGATTGATTAAACGGGTAAAGGTAAACGCTTACGCCCACTTGTGCTGATATTAGGCTACTGAAGCTGCTTTTGTATGATTGGTGGAAGACCTGATTATCATTTCTGTTATGGCTTGATTGTTGATCATACTCATACACATACAGTAAGAGAGAATCCACTCCTTCCCTTCCTCTTTTTCTGACTTATGACTTAATAGGGTGACTCTGATCTGATTTATGATGTTTGGCATGAGACTGATTTCACTCTTTCACTCGGTAAAGCTGCTAATTTTACAGGAGCAAAGACTCAAGATGAATGAGACTTGGCAGCTTAAACTTTCCCCATAACAGCCAGTGGTCGTCTTCCACAGAACCCAACCCAATAAGAAGAACCAACCTTCAAGCACTTTAAAGCTTCCCACTTTGGTTACAAGCCCATTCTACAAGGCTCAGCGATGATTATAGATCTCCACTTCAACACATGTAGAAGGATGCAACTTTAATTTGTTTCCATGTGGAATACAAAAGCGAGGTTGGAACTTGGAGGCCAAGTGAACCCATCTCTGTAACTGTTTGCTACCTACCACTCGTCTTTATCAGTTTGTGTTAGCCGAAGCAACCATCCAGTTACCTCATATCTCTAAACTAAAAAGTAAGCGAAAGAAACTTAGTGATACCCAATCAAGAAAGGAAGAGCTTGAACATTGAGGCAAAACCAAAGTATTTGAAAAGAGTCGTACAAATACATTTGTAGCTTTATTTAAGATTGATTCTCCCAAAAAGCCTATAAACACAAAGGAAAAAGGCACAGCTGAAAGCAGTTGAAAAGTAATGTCATCAACTAAGGGATGTGATAACCACCACCCCATGGGGAATCAGCAGACAATTGTCTCACTGGTTTTGCTACCACCACAGCCTTTCCAACAAGCTTGTACTCCATCCCCATCTTACCTGAAACCCGTACCACCAGATGTAAGGTATTACTATAAAAAGCGGAAGAAGCCGAGCGACAAGAAAAATTCCTGCTGCTACCATCGTAGTAGCATGTGTAAGAGCTGAAATGGGGTAATTAAAGCCACACTTCGTCATAAACAAAGTTAACTTTGATTGGCATTTATTTGAAGAGAAAGGTAAGATAATGTATCCATTCATGGGTATATTTCTTATTTTAACTCAAGTTTGTTTTCTGCCGCCACGGGCTGGCCACTAGAAATATATAGCTCAGCTCGTCATTGACCCATGATCAATGGCTTCGACCATACTCTTGCTTTTAGGTCCGTCCACTATCAACTTTAACATGTTGAGATATCTAAACACCCACTTAGCACCCACTTCACTTACACAATTAATATAGTGGGAACCTACCTGCATGAAAGAGTTACAAACACACTACTCCTAAATGTACACTACTCCTAAATGTAGACTACATCTGACAACTATTTGGTTTTAGTTTTCAAAACTTAACTTAAATTTTGAAAATAGTTCTAAGAGTTAGATAACTAGAAATTTTATAAGAATTCTTAATGTAGAACTTCTTGAACACGTGAAGAAAAAGAGTCTTACGAATACGAGGAGTATTGTCCATTGCAGAAATGGGCGAGGCAATCAGAAGCAATGCAAAGCAAACTAGGAGCTTCAACACAAAGGAAATCATCTTCAGGGACACCATTCTTGAGGACTCGAGCTAGTTTTAAGTGCTAGTTCTATTGGTTGATTTATAGGAAAATTACAGCTTAACTAAACTTGAAGATATGAGGAGGAATTAAGAGTCAAAAAAGTTGGCCAAGTGTTTAAGGACTTTGTTGGGTCTAATTGTCAGAGAAATTGCTGTCATGGCCCCATTGATCTTTAATATTTTCGAACATGACAGTCAAATAATAAATGCTAAGCTTTCATTTTCATAGATATTTTCTCTTACTGTCTTTAATAACCACTCCTTCCTCCTCTCTCTTCGATTGTAAATATTAGCCTTAATTATTTTTAAGTCAAACACATGATTCTTTTTTCTTTTTGTTAAATTTTTAAACATATAATCTTTGACCACTTAAATCCATTCTCTCTCAACTTTTAATTATTTGTGTGGTTTTGTAACCTACCTATGACAGTTAGAGGACTTCAAACTAATTATAAGGACTAAAACCTTGAGCGGCTGCAAGGATCACTTGTTTTGCTTGGCAGGTTACAGTTGCAAAAACCTTATGATGCTCACATTTTGCAACATTCATCTTCAGGAAGATATTGCCGAAATCTCCTACTAATTGGCCTTAATATTTCTTATTTTCCATAAGCATCGAGAGATATTGCAAAGCCTACCTTTGCTTCAATGTCCAATAATTTTTCTGTTTAGAACCAATTAAGCAAATTCTTTTATTAGTGTTTTCTATTCCCTAAAATTTGACAAACTTCCTTCGGCTATCCTTTCTTCTTTGATTCCATTAATTCTTTTCTCTCCAATGGTACTTGATTCTAACCATTTCGCTTTCGAATTGTCTATTCAAAAATATAGTCCTCCATCTACCACACTAAGGGGATCTTTTTCCTCTTTAAATAAGGATATCATCTCATTTATTTCTTCAACGAAGCTCCTATAGACCGTTCGAAGAGAGTACCCTATTTCATCATCATAACAATTTATTCACTTGCCCCAAATAAAATTTCATTGGACAATATTAACTCAAACATTATTTTTTATCCCGAGAATGACGAGAAATCATCTATCAAAATTTGAAGTTCAATCTCAAATTTTAAACCAAAATTCTTGTATCCAAACTTATCTATCTTCCGTCCTTTCATGCATAACCATTAAACAAAAAAAAATCGAAAAGATAATCCATTATCAAAAAAGTTGGGAGTCCAATCTTATACTCACATCTCCCATATCCAAATTCATCTTCCTTACATACATAACTATCAAACTCAAAAAATCCAAAAGATTGACCATCACCTAATTTATAGACCAAATACAATCAAAAACTTTTCTTTACCACCAATTAAGAAAATTCTTTTACTCTATTTCCTCATTATAGTACTTAGATTCACTTCCCTCAAATTAAACCTCATTCGACTGCTTCAAAAATTCTTCAAAAATTATTATGGATCCAAAGAACAACTAATCATATAAAAAATAAATAAATAAATAAAAATGCAAGTCCAATCTAATGCTTTAAACAAAAATTCTTGTATCTAAACTTATCTTCCCTTCGTCCTTTCATATCCAACCATTAAACTAAAAAGCTCCAAAAGATTGTCCATAATCAAAAACTTGAAGTCTAAATTTATCATCCTTCCTTCTTTACCTACATAACCATCATAACCATCATTCTTGTGATCCCTCATTCCTTGATTCCAACAATTCTTCACTTTTCCATGTCCTTGATTCAAGTTCTTTGCTACTTCTCATGCATATGACATCTTATTTCTTGGTTCCAAAATAAGCTTTTCAAATCTCCAATTTGAACAAACTTCCATTTTCGATCATAACGTTTATGAAAGTGAATAGTCCTTGATCCACCATTCTCATACTACTTTAACCCACAATTCTCGTATCCAAACTTTTTTTCTTTCCTTCCTTACACACATAACTTTCACAAACTAAAAATATCCAAAAAAAATTGTCCATTAACAAATTTATAGACCAAATACATCTTAACTTTTCTTTATCACCAACTAATTAAGCAAATCTTATTTTTCTAGTGCTTCCTTCCTCTAAAATTTAAAAAACTTCCTTTGTGTGGCCCCTCATTCCTTAATCAAACAATTCTTCACTTTAGTGTGACCCCTCATTCCTTAATCAAAAAACTTCCTTTGTGTGATCCCTCTTCCTGATATAGTGTTATTCAATTGCCAAATCTCATTCAAACATTTTTGCACCTTGTCAGGTGACTTGCAGTCATATAATAATTTCCAATGAAGCAAGCTAGTAAGACACAAAAACTTCTTAAGCAACAAGATCATTTTAAGCAATAGACTCTTACCTTTTCCTCTTCAGCAGACCAAATTATTTCTTAGACTTTGTCATTCTCCTCTTCAGCTGATCAAATTCTTTCTTCTACCTTTAAGAGAAAATATAAGAAACAGAAAATGTCAAAAAGTTTTAACTCGTAAACTTAATAGAAAATAAAACAAAGTTTGACCTTCATTTTGCAGGGCTGTTAATTCACACATTGAAAATATAAAACAGCAAAAACTGAATGTTGTTCAAATTGGTAAAAAAAAATTCTATGGAAGAATCTGCATATATCACACTTGATAACTTAATCAGAGGATGTTGTCATGTCATATTACAGCCTAAAGAAAATTAGTGCCAGAAGTGCCTTCAGTTAGGGTGTCCTGCACAAAAGGTGTTGTCTTAAATATGTTCTGTGCTGTACTAAGCTTGAGGAATATAAGAAGGAAGATGCACCCTGAAAGGCCTCTCAGTTTCGTTTCTAAACATGTTAGTTGAGTAATTAAGAAATCTAAGAATTAGTAGCATTGCCAGACATGTTTCAAGCAATATTTTGTGATCTGTTCTTACTTGCAGTCAAATGTTGACATAATCCAAACAGAGGTAACATCTAAAGAAGCTAAAGCTACAATACACAACTTCACAGCCAACAAATGATAAATAAAATAAAATATAAACTTCAAAACAACATTTACTTCCCACGCCCCCTAAAAACTTAAATTCAACTTCACAGCCTTGGGATTGGAATCATACCAGTATTCCTAGCAGATGCGAAAATCCAACCAGCCTCAATGACAAGACGAACTGCTTTTCTGTTGCCCAAGCAATCACTTCATCAAGAGCAACTGCCTTGTTCTTCCCCTCTCTGTTATCGGAACAAAACTCAATGTGACATAAGAGTTCGTCGTCCTGCTCTCTTCTGCCAACACATAAATTTGAATATCAGGATTGTTCAATGGCTCCTCACACAGAGAAGAGATAGAAGATGACAGGGAATGAAACGAAGAGTCCAAGATAATAATCACGCTACCATGGGAGCAATGAACCTACTAAAAACGCCCTATTCCTCCGCAATCGAAACCACGAAAAAATACAAAACGTGTCGATAGAAACGAACAATCCTTTGATTAAGTTCTCCAATGAACCCCTAATTTGGAATAGCCGGCTGAAATGAAGTTACATTACCTCTGTTTTTCATCACCGAGACGAGTCAAGAAACTTCCTTCGATTCTGCTCTCTCTCGTCCTCCGATTGCCTGGTAATGATCTTGCATATGATTTCGGCAACGAACACTCAAAAGGGAAGAGGCCGTTGATGGAGCGCTCTGATTCTAGTGTGAGAATGTGCGGAACAAGAGTGTGACTGCGGGAGAAATATATATGGTCTGTGTAAAATCCGCGGCGGTCGAGACAGCTGGCGTGACGGGTAACGGCTCTGAAGACCGTTTGACGTTGACCGTGGAAAACCGTCGAACGGCTACGTAATTTAACTGATTAATTAATGTGTAAAATCCTCTTATTGTCCTTTATTTTAAATGTACAAACCTTAGTAATAAGAGAATTTATGGAGAACTTAATTATGCTTATTGTTAAACATATAATTTATTAAATACTTTTTAAAATTTTATTATTTTCTATTTTATTTTATAATAAAAATCAAAATTTTCTACCCATATTATAATTTATATTAAATTTAGTCGGTGGTTTACACGAACTAATTTGAACTTTTAAAATTATAAGGATTAAAGTCATCTAATTTTTTTTTATATATATTTTTAATAAAAATGCTACTACATCATACTTTATATTTAATATTTAAAATAATAAATTTATTTAATTGTAATATATTTTTAAATAATATTTATTTAGTTAAGCTCGTGTATTCTCACAATAATACATTTTTTGTATTTGCACCCTTGAGTTTGGTTTGGTCGGTGTAACTTTTTTTTTTTTTTTTTCCAAATCATAATTTCAACAAATGTTCGAATTATTTTATATATTTTATATTGGATTTGAATTTTGTTTTTCACTAATTTGTTCTTCTTCTTCATATTTACACTTGATTTTCACGTGTGACAATTGGAAATGAAGAACAGAGAGATTCATCACAACTCCATTATTGTAGAATGCAAATTGCTTTCCAAGAAATTCGAGTTGATCAAGCAAAATTTTGGCATCATTCGGTTCACCTAATACTGTTTGGATTCCGAGAAAATTATTCAGATTCAGAGCACAATTTTCACTCGCCTTCCTATACATACAGATTGAAACGAGAAGAGATCGATGATATCTGAAGCATTTTAATCATTTCAATTGACGGATCCAGAGATCACAATTCTAATTAATTACAAATACTCGCCGGAAAATTTCGATGATTCAGCATCGATCGAGCAAGGAAGAAGAAGGAGAAAGAAAACAAACAAGGAGATCGAAATTCATCGATGGATATAGACATTCGAATCGATCTTCGTGGAAGAAGAAGAGATTAAAATATGAAGCACCACACGAATTTGAGGAACTCAAAGCAATCGAATGTTTCTGGCCTTCTATTGCTTCTCTTTCTCAGAGCTTTCATGGCGGACTCACTTTCAATGAATCGAACCGTTTTCTCAGTGAAAGCTCCATCCCATGCGTATTCCTTCATATCATCCTTACCGAAGAAGATGTCTCCGATGACGTCGTACTTAGAAGGTCTGCTGCAAGACTTGCCGCATCGACGGCCGTCGTCACTCTCGCCACCGAATTCGAGGGGAGTGGTATCGATGTCCATTAAGCGAAGTAGTGTTTAATAAGGAAATCTCTGAAGGTTTTTATCTCATGGTTATATTTATACATAGGGATATAAATATGTATTATTTTTTTTGTTTGACGAAAAAAAATAATAATATTTCCTCTTAAGATAAGGACAACAAACAATTAATTATTGAATCTTAGTATTTTAAATGGAAATCATCATATGGTTGTTAGAACCTTCCTGAATTTACCGAATAGAAATTGAAAGTTCAGTTAATTAAAAATCTTATTTTATTTAAATTTTAGTTCTTTTTTTTTCACCTCAAACAGGTAGGATGGGATGGAGATCCGACCCGACCCACCACACCCCATGACACAAATATGAATTGGCTGACTCATTCAATGGTGAGAGTGAGTGCCGCACAATCGTTTTGTAAAATCTTATGAAAGTGTGATTATGACAATTGGTATCAGAGTCAATTCGTCTCTGAGAACTGATTTAGTAAATATGTCGACATCAAAATAGCTCAACGTAAGACACTACCTGTTAAATACCTTTGAACTATGCTCATCGAGGCAACCAGCTCATTTTAGCACAAAAGACGGGAAAGAACAGCCATAATTATAAAATTTCTTTAAAAAAAAAAAAGAAAAAAAAACACTAATAATCTAGAACGGAGAATAGGAGAGCAAGATAATGGCCATAATATTCATAACATAAATGTCCTCCAACTGTAAAAATGCCCCCTAAAATCTACCTGTGTTCAGTGTTCATAAATCTGGATATGACTCCGCCAAGTCAACTCCTCAGGTCAAAAAATAAAAATAAAACAGCATATAAATGGCTGAACATTAAAAGACTCTGCGAGTCATTACACTCTCGGGGTGGTTCGAGTAACGGAAGAGCTCACCAAAACTATCTAACGTATGCTGTGGTGTGGTTGGATCTATTGATGGAATCTACAATGCCTGCATTTCCAGATTGGTCTGCCCGTTGGTGCTGGAAGTTGAAGTGGTTCCTCCTTCACCTTCGTTTTCCGACTTCATTTCTTGAACGGGTGGCGGGTTCACAATAGTCATTGGGACTGCAAAGTTATCAGCTAGACGTCCCTTCATCTCCCTGTGTTCTTGACAAAGAGCGCACCAGTGCAGGCAGCAATGTGTCATGCAAGGATCACATGGGGAGTTCTGCAATCAGCACTGCAACGATTAGCATACAGCATGTACTACACTACACTACCATATGACAGTGTATTCACTTTTGGAAAGCTAACTAACCACACATTTGTTTAAAGGGGGAATGGTTGTTCTAAATCCTATGTGATCACATAATTGACATGGTGACTTATGTCATGAGTTTCTGAAGTGTAACTTGAGATACTGTCTCTTCTCTCACCCTTAGCCCCTTGCATTAATAGAAAATATGGCACATCAAGCTCTTCGAAGTGCCCCCCACGGAGTAATGTTATTATTTCAAGCTCCGGGCTAATACTCCAATGCATGACAATTGTAAGAAAATTGTGAAATCTCACATCGGTTGGGGAGGAAAAGAACGAAGCATTCTTTATAAAGGTGTGGAAACTTCCCCTTAACAGAGGTGTTTTAAAAACCTTGAGAGGAAGTCTGAAAGGGAAAGCTCAAAAAGGACAATATTTGCTAGCATTGGTTTGGGCTATTTCAAATGGTATTAGAGCCAGACACTAGGCATTGTGTCAACGAGGATGCTTGCCCCAAAGAGGGGTGGATTATGAGATCCCACATCGATTGGAGAGAGGAACGAGTGCCCGCGAGAACACTGGGCCCTGAAGGTGGGTGGATTGTGAAATCTCACATTGGTTGGGGAGAAGAACAAAACATTCTTTATAAGGGTGTGGAAACCTACCCAAGAAGATAATATCTCCTAGCGGTGAGCTTTGGCTGTTACAAAAATATCTTAATATTTTTCGGGCTTGAACGAGTTGACATATCAACGTAAGAGAATGAAAAAGTTTAAACCTAGATATCCCATGCGATCCACAAAATCCTCTTTACAAACAGAGATTTTCTCCTCAAAACATACTAGAGGACGCTTTCGGAACTACAGAAACAAAAGGCAAACAATTCTAGAAGTGAAGCAAACAAGTTGGCATCTAGGTATTAGTCCGTAACCACAGAAGATTGTCCACATTTAATAGATCAAGATTGATAAGCACATTAATAGAAGATTTACCTTAAGATGATACTTCTTCTGCAAAGATTGGCGAACGAGTCCGGTGTATATACCACACATCCACCAGGTAAACAATAATCCCTCACAAATGAGAAACGTCGTGTTTGGTTCGATGCAATGGAACGCTGCAGTTGCTGTCGCCAAGGCAATGCCACCTTCAACAAATATAGCATGACAAACGCACGGCCTTGTCCAGTCCATATCATCGTCTCTCAAGCTTTCAACATTGCGCCCAAACAAAACACATGGACAGAACAATCCAGTCCAGCCTGTATACACGAAATAGGCACACATACGAAGACAAAAACAAGTTACGACAACAGCTTGCTCTTGCAGACCTTGAAATGAGTAGTGCTAATGGCATAATTGCATAAGTTTCAACTTTCAAAATGTGTTTCTGATGACCCTTAGTTCTACGAATAACCACACGAACAAACAAACAATTGTCATATTGCAAAGCTGTTCACCGTTATTCGACCTGAGAACCGTAGATTAAGAAGAATACTATACATATGGAAACTTACAACTTTGTGGATCTTCAGCACAGCCAAAAATCCCAGTTGTCCAAGGTTCATCTGCTGGAGGTTCAAAGCTGTCAGGGAGTGGCTGTCCACACTCATTGCATTTTCGAACATTTAACTGAGAGTAATCCAGAGAATTTCATTATAAATGGCATGTTTTTTAAGTTTTCCCTTGGATATTCCTACAGAAAGTTACTACCAAAATTGCATAAATAGACATACACATAAAGAACAAGAATCATAGTACGTATATAGAAAAAGTCGAGCAGCTGCAAATCAAGAAAACAAAAAATGTCCCGGAGTAATGGACGAGAAAGGTCAGTATCAGATAAAAAGGGCCAAATAAGGCGCTTGAAGCTTCAATCGAGTATTTCTCTAGATTCACCACTTAAATACCATAACAACCCCGTCAACATCTCACATACAAAAAGCTTAACAAGTATGCATGTAGCTAGATGTGAGATCCCACATCAGTTGGAGATGGAAACAAAGCATGTCTTATAAGGATGTTTTAAAACCTTGAGAGGAAGCCCAGCTCAAAGAGGACAATATCTGCTACCAGTGGGTTTGAGCTGTTATACTAGCACATTGTTAACACACAATAAACAGGCACAGTGGGAACATCGTCGAGTGGCCACCCCCGATCGTTTAACATTTACTAACCTTATTAAATAAAAGCTTCACCCTTCAACATTTGGAGTAAAAAACACCGAAATGCACAGCTTCTAGAGCAGTTCATCCACTACAAGTCAATCTTCTCACAATTGGATCAACAAACAATACTACCAGATCGTGAAGTGATATGCATATATGCTCTGAACATTGTAAACCGGAAGAACAAATACCAATGATATCAACAGAAAAGCTCGAATCTACAGAGAGGTATTATGAGAAAGAAACAGCGGCAAAAATTGCTCCAAGAAAAGTAGAAAACCTGAGGAACTTCAATGGGCTGATTAAGCTCCCCTGGCTTGATTTCTTCCAAGGGAGCTTGATCTTTCGTCAATTTCACATACCGAGAAGGCGCCGCCCCATCCCCCATCTGAGATTGTCCACCGACAAAAAAAAAATCAACAAATCAAGAACTCCACATCTTATTTTCTAAAGTAAAACTGCAAATTATAATAACTCGAATCCAAATCCAACAATTTCCCATCACTTCAAAGATATTGAACAGTTCGACCACGGAAGAAACGATTTATAAGAATCAAACCTAGGAGAAAAGAAAAAAAATCGACAATCCTACCAATCCTTTTCTGGGACTAAAAAAATTGCAAAGATCACCAAAACAGAAAAATATACATAATTCTTACCGACCGCAGCAGAAAAATGAACTCGCCCAACAAATCCGGAGCCGCTTCGCAAAATCAGCGAAGATCTGATTTCACCTTCAAGATTTAGTGAACTTGAAGAGTCAACCGACCCGAATTCTTCCCCGGACTAGAAGAAACGGATATAAGCCACAGCCGCAGTAATCAAATTCGATGCGTTTGTTTTGTACTGTGAAATACTGAAATGGGTGGGTAATGGGTAGATAAAACTTCCCCGAACCGCCCGGATTATGTTTCGTGTAACCATTTTTGGAAAAGATTCGATTTTTTTCTTATATGGAAACAAAATTAGTTTAAATTTTAAGTTCAGTTTTAAAATATTATCATGGATGCAAATAATATATTTACACTTATTGTGTACAATTCATTTTATTTAGAACTTTAATTCTTATTCATAGTTCGACCACTTATCAAATACATCGTGTCAAAGTACGTATAATGTTACCGATTACAAAAGATTGCATCGTATAATTAAATGTTTGCTAGTTTCGTACCGTCTACTAATTAAATGTTTGCTAGTTTCGTACCTTAGGTTGAATTTTAAAGTTAATTTAAAAGATTATCAAGAATTTTAAGAAGATTTTAAATTAGAAAGTTGTGAAATATAGCGGAAAACAATATCGATTGTCGCAAAAGTTCCTACCTTTAAGAGAAGTATGAAGTCAATTCGAAGACGAAGATTAAACCCTTTTAACAAAACTATAGACACAAACTTTTGATCTAAATATGAGGATTAAAGCAAACGTTTTTGGAAGTATAGATACAAAATGGGCGTAATGGATGAACCATGAAGGGCTAAGAATGTAGGTTAAGGTTCATCCTATGAGGGCCAATTTCTATACCAACCAGCCCAAGCAGAGACCAACCCACTAATCCCAAGAGTGATGGTATGGTTGCAGAATGGATTGGGTTCAATCTCAGCCAATGCGATAAGCAAATCAGCAACATTAGCTGCCACTGCCATGAGCCTCATAACTCTATCAGCTCTGATTTTCTTCACATTCTCCCGTTTTGAATCCTCTGCTTCAGAGATTTGAAGCTTTCTCTCAGCCTCAATCCCTTGTTTCAGCATAATCAGATCGGCAACTATGAAGAATATGTAGCCAAAGGACTCACCAAAGGCTGATATGAAGCTCATCTTTTTAGCCAACGTTGCATCAAGAGTCCCAATTCTTGAGAGCCAAAGCAAGTGGTCAAAGAAGAAGTAGACCATTTCACCTGCATTAGAGAGAACGGCGAGAAACCGGAACGTTGGAGTCGAGCCAGGGCTGCGTCGGAGGGCGTTGAAGCCGGTCAAGAAGCGGCCGGTTCGGAAGGCTTTTCGGCTGATGCCGGAAGCAAGTTCCCAGTGCTTGGCTCTGGTTGCCTTGTCTGGATGAGAGGTTTCAAGGTGCCAGTGAACCAACTTGGAGACATATTGGAAGGTCTTGACGAGCTTGTCTATGCCATCTCTTTTGGCTAAGAAGATCACCAGTTTATCCACTGTGTCAGTCATGGCTATGGGTGTGTTGAGAAGCCAAGAAGATGGGTTGATGGTTTTTGGCTCATGGAGGAGTTTTAAAATTTTGGGAAATTAAATGAGAGCCACAGAATATTGGTTCTTGATAATTGTAGCTGTGGTTGGACATTATTCTTCAATTATTCTATTTATTAGTCCTCTCATTTTATTTTATTTTATTTTTTGTCTTTCATGGATAAATTTTGAGATAGTGTTTTATGAATAACAAATGGCATCCACATGAAAAAAACTACCATTATTTTGTAATATTTTCATATAAGATATTATTGGTACGATATATATATATATATATATATTATATAATTAACTTACAACGCCGTTGTCTTCTTTGCACTTTTTCTTAGGACCTCACAATATGACTATTTTTAAGACTTCTTGAAACTCGTTCTTGGTAGTGTAAATTACATGGAGATGATAAAAAGATGAACTTAAAGACAGGAACAAATATTGACATGATTAAATGAAGATATCAACTTGTTGTTAGGATGCACGCGAACAAACTACCTAATATAAGCTCTAATGCAGTGTTTATTGGCAGGGTAATCGTATAACCTATTAATAATAAATGAGGATGATCATAAGGTCAAAGATGTTTTAGTCAAAAATTTGCTAATCTAAGTTGACACGCCGCATCTTACATACAAGGTTTGCTGTTGGAAGATCAAGCTCCTTTCCAGAGTCAGATTTTAGAAGATCTTTCAGCTGGTCTCTTGAAGTGGAAAAGCAAGCGAGGAATGTGGCGAGAGCTGAAGGAATTTGCATTGATAGGGCAGAGAGCACGTTCGTCAGATACTCGATGTCAACAGATAACTGCTCCGCCCCACGATCTGTAACGTTTTGTATGCCACGCAATTGCTCAGTGTAAAGAGCAGCGGTGCCCTCAGCAACCTTCAGAAAACAGAATAAGGATCCATATAAGTGGTTCATTTCAAAGTGATAAACAGATGGGGTGATGATACTCAATGCAACATGCTCTATTCTTTGAAATTTCAAAAATCGCAATATATGTTCAAATAATATGCTGAATGTGAAATTGGTACCTTGCACATCCATTCTGCAGCGAAAAACTGAGCCTCGTCATTGTTGGCATTGCTATTAGAGATACCCTCAGCAAGTGGCTCCAGTTGTTGGGGTAAAGTGAGAAGATATTCACCAACACTAGTAACGTAAGACTGGGGGTAAGAACTAAAAGTTGGAAGAGGAAAAGCACTAGGTTCCTCAACCGACGCCCATATTGGCAAACGAGAGACATCGCTAAGGCGTTGTCGTACTTTGGATATGAGAACATCATATACAAGTTCATTAACCTTGTCTGCAAATGCTGCAACTCTTTGAGATGCGAGTGGAAGAGCATGGAAACGTGGATCTTTTGACTGCATAACGAGAAACTACTCAGACGATGCTAAAACAGAAAGAGAAAGATCAACTGAACCAAAGAAACTAGCGGCAATTGACCAGAGAAAAATAATAGAAAATAATTAAGCAGCTAAGCTTCTCTCTATCTCCCCCAACTTCTTAAAAAGGAAAGGTGGGTAATGGTATGGTGAAAGATGCTCTAATGACTCTGCTTGAATGGCATTAATTGAAACCAAAAATTAAAAGCATGGTCGGAAGGTAAACGAGTAGAAAGAGAGGTACACAAATTGACTGACCTGATCTAAGAGGTTGAAGAGCTTTTTCGCCTTATTGGGAGCATCGACAAGCCGAATAGCTGCCATATCCAATGCAGCCCTGCCACCCATAATGGATTCCCTATTGCTGTAATCACTGACTATATGAGACTGGTTTTGGTCCAAACTTGAACCAAAGACCGAAACAGATAAGGTCGTGCTCAGTCTTGCAAGAGTAGCTCTCAAAGAAGCTTCAAATACAGAAGACCTGCTAGTCAAACAATCAGCCACTGTAAGTATCTGTAAAGTCCCCTGGACAATGGACCACTCTTCCTCGTTTGAGGCTGAGTCAACTTTGCGGGTTCCATCCTTCTTGTCCAGGCCAGTTTCCTTTTTTATCCCAATACCATCACTACTCTGATCAATTCCACATACAACTCTCAGGGATTTTAGAGTTTCTTGGAGTGAAGAAATATACTGTAACATCACATCATCAAGAGCAAGAAGCATCTCATCCGCCTCAGAACCACCCGTAAAGCTTATGCACCTCTCAACAGCTGCTTCAAGAAATAAAATAACTTGTGGGATAGACTCCTCCATTCTGCGTACTGTTTCACTAAGTTCAATCCCTTGGGCCCCTACACCTCGAGTGACAGCTCCTCTAAGATCTACCTCTGCAATTTCAGAGGAAAGGATAGCGCGCTCCATTTGTCCATACCTAGGAAAAAGGAGAATAAAGGATGCATTGCAAGAACATAGCACGCGCATAGAATACATAAAAGAAATGTGCATAAATTTCTAAAACAAGATTGTCAACATCTACGATTTATTACCTTTGTTTAAAGGCTTCAAAAGGAAAATATACAGCTTTCAGCGTGTTGGTTAAAATGTTCACATCTGATTCTGAGAATAGATGTTGAATATTCCTAGCAAAGGTTCCCGTCATATTATGCAAATCAATAAGTGCTTCTAGATGCCTTGTTCGAATCTTGACCCCCTTTGGCATATCTCCAGATAAAATATCCAATATTCCTGAAACAACAAAAGGACCAGATTAGAGGAAAATGTAAAACTAAAATATACGGGACATAGATCACCTCCTAGCTACCCCTCTACACATCATAGCACTATGATGAAGTTTGAAAGTTGGAAGTATAAAACTGATTTGAGATGTTGACTTAACCTTTCCCCAATGCTTTTGTCCCAGGAACAACATCTGCAGTTGCAAGATTGATACGTGAAACAAAACTTGACCCCACAACTGCCATTATGTCAATCAAAAGCTTGGGGACAAGAGCTTTATAATCATCTGGAAACGCAATCATACACCTGCAGATGACAAGTTCTAGTTTTAACAAATAACAAATGAAAGAAGGAAGCCTCACCACAAGAACGCTAAAGATTTAGCTACAAATCTCAAAAAGGAAAAATTAAACAAACGAAGGTATTAATTTAATCGCCGACCACTTATTCAAAATTTGGTGTCCAATATGATGAAATTAATATTTAGGGTTAAATTTGACCCAATAAGCTACGTATATAAGTAATATAAAAAAAAGTTAAAAAATAATATAAAGTGATCAAATACTAAAAAAAACGCTAATATTTCCACAGCAAGCTTAGTCAATATCTCATGTGTTCAATAGGAAACGGCAAGGCAAGCCACTATTGCTTCCCTGTTGTTCAATAGAAGTTACTGTTTCGGAGACCAGAAACTAAAAAAAAAAGAAGCTAGTAACTCTTACCTTAAAGATACTCAAGGAAGTTAACATCCAAAACTAATATCACAATAAAATATAGCAAGTTATCTATCATGCATTCTTTTGAATAAACAGGACATAAAAGCATTAGAATATAAGTACTACCACTTCCATTCTTGTTCAAGATAAAGTAGCAATTCATCATGGAAACTTGGCAACCAACTGGCGAAGGAAACTGATGGAAAACTAGATTGAAAGTCATTATTAGTCGTCGGTCTTTGAAATTCACTCTTTTCATTAGCAAGCTTATATGCTCGTTGCTTTGAATCAAAATCTTCCCAAAGTTGCTTTATAGGCTTCAAGTGAACTTTCGTATAGTTCTGCTCTAGAGACTTGAATCTTCCAATTCGAAGGAGAATTACCCTCAAATCTTGAGCAACATCAATCTGTACCATATATGGAATTCTTAATTGTAAATACAAAAATCATATATTCCGATTCAAGTTCTTGAAAACAATGTGTACCTTTCTATTTGTTAGTGCATCTTGTAGACGAGGTTGAACCATAGCATCAAGCCTGTCCTCCAAGACCTCAAGCTGCTTCCTTACATTAGCAAACTCAGCAACCTAATTGAACATCAACTAAGTCAACCTTGCACTTTGCAAACATGTGAGTAAAAAAAAAAAGAAGCACCCATGAAGAATTTTACCTCCCCAACAGCAGACAAGCAATGTCTCATGTTGGCCAACGTTTCAGCAGCCCGAGGAAGATCACCACTGGCAAAAACATCTTCGACCGTTGAACTTAATTGAGCCAACCCAGCAGCATCCTATTGAAAAAAATTTTAAAAACAAAATACAAGTACATGCATGTGTCATCTACCCGTCAATTTGTGTAAGCACTTACATGAAAACTAGTGCACTTCATCTAACAGTCACTACCTGCAATGTCTCATAGGCAGCTTCCATCCTCTGCTTAACCGTATCAACTCTAGCAAGTGCAGCTATAGATTCTGCAGAGGATCCCTCTGCCTGCAGGAGATATAATACATGAAACACTGAGAGATTGTGGACGAGACGTCACACAATTGTATCTAAACGAGTTCTGCTTCAAATAATATAACATGTAGAGCATCCTCTTCGTCAAAAGGTTGATCCGACAACGTTATATACCATTATTAAATTCACAATAAACTGAGTACAACCCAAATTCAGCGTCGCAGAAAACTACTAAACTAACTAGAAGATCAAGTCCCGATACTGTAAGCGCAAGATTGCCAGTAATACAAATTGACAAGAGATGAAACTCTCCCTCCCTTCCTCCATTTCTTTCCCTCTTAATAATTTTGTTGCAACATAGAGAATAAACACAATTCATAAAATGCTTAAGAAACTCTAAATCAAAGTGGCCACAAATCTAGAACTAGACGACCTACTAAACTTCCCGGGAAATTGAAAAAAGAAGCCAGAGATCATTCAAAACGAAAGAACAGATGAATTGCACAATATACAAATGAGTGTCACCTTCTTGAGCTTCTGGAGGATCCCAGAGACAGCAGATCGGAGAGAAACAGCGTCGTCACGTAAGCGAATAACATCGCGTGTAGCACGAGGAACGCGAAGGAGAGCATTAGCACTGAGCTCCTCAAGTGAGGCAGCAATCTCTTCGGACACCATTTGAAGCTTCATCTCCAAATCGACAAGGTGCTTGTCCAAAGACTCCTGTGGATGACGAGTCTGGCAAGCGGAATTGATCCATTTCTTCGGGTCGAAACTCTCGCCGGAGAAGGGACCTAAATCCAGATTCATGGCTACTCGGACGTTGATCCGCTTCAGAGATACATGGAATTGGAAGCTGATTTGAGATCGGGAGAAGGAGTCCAATGTAATTAGCAAGCGTCTCTTTCGATTCTGATTTATTTTAATTTTCGAAAAGTATTTTTTGTTAAATTAAAAATTACATTTACTGTAAAATAAGAATTATTTTTCTTAGAAAAATAAATAAATGGGCCTTCTGATCCAATCAGCGGCCTGTAATATTTGTTTGCTTGGGCTTTTTCACGTGAACCATCATATCATAACTGGGCCCATTTTGGGCCTTCAAATTCCACATGTTCGGCCCAACTCTAATATTTATTTTGGGTTTGTTCAACAAATACCTTCGTGTTACAAATAATAATATAATATCTTATGTTAAAAATGTAACATCACGAGGGTTGACTGTTCCACACACAAAAATCATCAAATATTTATAAAAAAAAAAAAAAATGAAAATTATAATAATATTAAAATACTTAAATTGAAAGAATATTAATAAACGTGGAAAATAAAAATAAATAAAAATAAAAATAGTGATTAAAAAATTAACGGGACACATAAACTTATTTAATTTAAATTTCTAGCTCAGCAACTACATCATTATTTTTCCATCCCAAATTAAATCCAGCTTGCTAATATTAAAATATTTTAGCATTTCATGTTATTATTGTTATTATTCTTTCAACGTGACAATCGATACATTATTATTATTATTATTATTATTATTACAATTTTTTCTGTAAATTGCCAACTAATTAACCATGAATTTCAATTTATTTTTAATATTAAAATATACCCTTCATTCTCGAACAATTAAAACAAATCACATGCTTATTGTAATAATTATATGAAAAGTAAAAATAAAAAATATTTTTAATATATGATTCATTTCATCCAAATAAAAAATTTAAAGTTAAAATTGACTGGTTAAATTAAGAACACGAAAAACGTTTCTATTTAATATAACAATAAAAATAAAAAATAATTAAGTGAGTTAGGTGGAACATGGTTGGCTGCCCTAATTAAATTTCTTATTGATGGGTTCATAATGTAACGTTATGGCACTTTTTTTAATTACATCAGTCAATTTGTTCATAAAATGCCACCAAATCTGAACAACATTTGATTCATATAGTTTCTATATATAAAAATAATTTATTTCATTTTAAATGACTATTTATTTCTTCGTCCAAAAAAAATTAAATAACACGTTTTCAATACTATATTTTATAAAATCCATGTTTTTGTAGGAAGGCTATTTGTAGAATTATATTAAAAAATTTAAAATATCACGAAATTCAAGTCACGTGCTAGCTAAATAAAATATTTTTACTTTATAAATTTTAAAAAATATTTTTAAAATATTTTTCTAGAGTATAATAATTATTTTAATTATTTTTACTATAAATGGAATCATCATAATGAGTCAATATTTTAATTATTATAGTTTAAAAAAAATGTATATAATGTGTACTAAACACCGTTATGTATCGATTCGATGTTGACAAAGATATCATTATTCCGTGTAGCAGTTGTATAATCGCTTAATTTATTAATAATTTCAACTAGTCATCTTCCATCAATTTTTTTAATATTATTTTATTTTTATAATTATAATATTTTTTAAACCCTATTTTTGTTTTTCATGAGGCCCAAAAATAAGTGAATATTAATCCTAGGATTGATTGGCCCTTTTATACCTCCAAAAGCCATTTTTAAGTTATTACAGTGTTCTAGTCCAGTAAAATTGACAAAGCATAGGTAAAAATATAATGGTAACTTTTTTGAATGGGTTAGTAAAACAATGTAATTTCATTTAATTTATAGGCCAACTAGATTATGTATATATATATATATATAGCTATAAATATTTGAATCTATAATTTAATAACAGAGACATTAAACATCTATATCCACCGTCCTATATTTGTCATTAAATAAATAGGTTCAGTAATTATCAGTAATTTTTATTTACAAATATCTATTTTTTAAAATACCATTAAGGAAAATCGAATATTATTAGATTTTAATTATTATTATTATTATTATTATTATTATTGTTAGGTCGTGATTGGATGATTAAAATATTTTACATTAAAAAATAAAGTAAATTAAAAAAGAAAATGGGAGGAGAAATTTGGTTGTATATGGTTAGTCAAAGTGACAGCCATGGACAAAAAAAAAAAACATATTTCTTGACATTTATGTCGAAGCAGATGAATGTCAACGAGTCAATTTTAGCACATTTTTGTAGAGTAATTTCCACCAAATAAATTAATAAATAAAATATAAACTCAAATTTTTAATTTTAATTTTAATTTTAAACTGAAATGATCCATTATTGAATGTGATGACATGTGGCAACATTATTAGTCCATTCAACCATTTTTAAATGTGTGGGCGTAGGTAATTTAAAATTTTAAGATGGTTGAGTCGATGACTCGTGAGATTATTTTTTTAATTATTAAAAAAATTATATTAACCTTGATTACTAAAGTTGATTACTTTTATTGTTTATAATAATCTTTAGGTGAGAGTTGGGTTAGATTGTAATTTTGTCTTCCCGTTAATTGGGTTGACCCAACAAAAAAAATGTCAAAAAATCGAAGGATTTTCTCTCAAATTAGTAAAATGCCTCACACCAATGAAGAGTGTATTCTTAGATTATAAACTCATGATCATTCCCTAAATTAATCGATGTGGGACTTTCATCATCCAACAAGAGGAAGGGAGTTTCTTTGCCTCTTCCTTAACAAATCAATATTAATATAAGATTTAATTAATTAATTAAATTCATGGGCCCCACCAAGTCCCTTTTTAAAAAAATATAATATAATCTTAATTAATATAGTACATTTTTTAAAAGATTTATTTAGTTAATTAATTTCATATTTTTATAAAGTAAATAATGTTAATTTCTCTACTAATATATTAATTTAATTAATAGTATTAGAAAAATAGTTGCAAGTTTCCAAGGTATTGCCTTCTGGAAATCAACTTTTTGACTAAGGAGAAGGTAGTTTACTTACTGCCCAAGTCTTTCTTGGGAGAATCAATTACGCTTTTTTTAAAATGCGTATTAAATATATTTTATTTGAGTTGGCAAAATGTGACACGTCATAATTTTCAATTAATTTTTTTAGAGAATAAAAAATGTAAATAATTCTTTTTTTTATGGACTGAAGGGACATAATATTCAAAGTAAAAAATAATAATTAAAAAAACTATAGCATTGTTCTTGGTCAAAGTTACCAACTCAATATTCTCCATTAGTTCACACTTCTAATGTCAATTACTTACTTTATGATTTTAAATAACTAAATATTTTTATTTATTGCGGGTAATTTTTTTATTTATTTCATACTTTTTTTAGTTAGAGTTATAATGTGTCAACAAAATATCATTGGGTTCTCATTGGCACACTGTCTGATATCTGGCTTTGATATTATTTGTAACAGTGATCTACAATTGTTTGTAACAGCTCTTTGGCACACCACTTGACGTCCAGCTCTAATATCATTTGTAACAATTCAAGCTCTTTGTTAACAAATATTGTCAATTTTAGCTCGTTACGTATCGCTGTCAACCTCGTGATTTTAAAATGATATGTTAGATAGATGTTTTCATACTCTTATCAAGAAGGCTTTGGTTATCTGATTTTAGAGAGAAATAGTGGAAACTTTGATTTATTTTTATTTGTATTTTCATTTATTTTAAATTTAAAATATAATGGTGGTGATAGAAAATATTTGGAAAAATACACGTTTAATTGTTTTTTTTTTAACCAATGAAAAAAGAAAAAAGAAAAAAGAAAAACAAAAAACATGAATCTAAGTAAAAAATAAATAAATAAATAAACGCATAAGGTCCCACAGTGCCATGTCATAAAATCTTGCGATTACAGATCGATCTGACGAGTCCCACAGCGCCACGTAGCCAACAGTGGCCGTCACCGACGACTAGCCACTTGTAGCCGAAAGAGACCACACGTCCGCACACGTCCAACGCTGACATGGAGGGCCCCACGAAGCGACAACGTGGCCCCGTCAGCGTCGTCACGCGCTTTGTACGCAATAGCTGTAAGCCACGTATTTGTTGTATCTTAGCGCTCTCTCCTACACTGGGCCCCACGCACGATGACTTTTGACCTTTTTTCTCCTCCTTTTAAATAATAATACCAAATAAAAACTCCGCCACTTTCTGGTTTTTTTCCGTTGTTTTATTTTATTTAAAAAAAAAAACAGAATTTAGACGTAGAAACAACCTAAATTCCTTCACTTGACATGTGTTAAATATTAAATTATATATTTCGACTCATTAAATATAATTTTTTTAAAAAATATATTTAGAAAAAATATTTTTTAAAATTTAAAAGTTCAATAATTTCTATTTACATGTACTTATTAAGTAAAGAAGAAATCCTCCCGAAGATGCGTGATTACCACGCTCCATTTTAGCGCGTGAAGTTTGTTTGATTTAAGAGAGGCTGTTGCCGGATTCAACAGCCACGCTTAGACCATCGGAAACAGAAGGTGTATAAATAACCACAAGCTACCTGAATCTCTTCTCCCTCGCTTCTTCGGCATCAAGATTTTTCCCTCCCTGTTTTCGCTTCATTATCGTTCTTGATTTTTCCTGCATTTCGCGATCCTTTTCAACCTCTTTCAGGTTCTTCCCCTTTCTCCTGTCTCTCTTTATTTCCCTTCTTTGAATTTCTCTCTTATTTACAGTCGTTTTCTGTTTCTAATGCCCGCCGGCGTAAAATTTGGCGCTCAAAACCATAACGTTTGGTGGGGTTTTCACGTTTATATTGCTAGGTTTTCCGTCTGTGTTTTGAACACTTTTCCCCTTTAATCCATGTTTCTATGGCTTTTTGAAAGTTGAAAATCACTCGATTACTTTTCTTCCCTCATTCGGTTAATTCCATTTGATTAGTTATTGATGTTGCTGCTGCATTTCGGTTTCGTTTCAATTTTCCCATTAGAACTCTTCATTTGTTTCTTAAAAATCTTCTGTTCATCGGGGGTTTAACTTTTTGACGACGCAATATTTGATATTAACCGGACATTGGGTTTCCAAATGTTCGCGGA